ACATGATGATAAAATGCAGTCAACCAAGAAATAAAAAGAGGAAACCCTGGTAAAGCCTTAGGCGCTGGCACCAAAGCATTTAAATAGAGAACATTAAATAATCAAAGGGAATATATTGACACATAAGGTAAATGTAGTTATTTTTAAACCTTTAAGATTTAAAAAAGCATTAAGTGTAAACTTTCCTGTTTTCTAAGTGGAATCAGTATTCACTGAGTAAAACAGATAAATCAAGAAACAGCTTTTGACACATTAAAATAAATGAATGAAACAAATGGAAAAAAAAGAAAATATTAACAAAAACCCAAAAGAGGATACGAGGAGTAGGAGGAAGTGATCATCTTTTCAGCTTTTATAGATGAGAGGTTAATAAGACATTATCTAAAATTGTTAAAACAGACAAATGAAAATACCATATAAAACTATAAGGTCAACAACTAATTGTCTAAATAATCAGAAGAGAAACATATTCACACATAAAAAGAACAAGAAAAGGATAAGAATTATGGCAAAGGATAGAAAAGTACCAGAAACATACCAGATAAATGCTAATAATAAAAACTAGAGTTTAGGAGGGTGCAGTATAGATGAAATATATGAACAGGATTCAGAGGTTAAGCTTCCAGCTTTTAGATAAAAAAGTCACAGGTAAGTGCACATAGGGAATATGGTCAACATAAGAAAGTGCACATAGGGAATATGGTCAACAATATTGTAGTAATTGGTCTTACTGCAGTAATCATTTCATAATGTATTAAAATATGGAATTACTATGTCGTACACCTAAAACTAGTAAAACTGTGTTAGTTATAATTGTCTCTTTAAAAGGCTAGAGTTTAGATATTAATAAATGGACAAGGCTTATTAACTAATGGCAGAAAGTGTTAATTAAATGCCCTTTAGAATGACAAAAAGTTCAAACTCACAATGATATAATTTTTTTTATGTCCAAAATGTTACTGCAACAAAATAATAAAGTACAAACTAAAAAAACACAACAGAAAGAGCAGATTTTAACTTATCTTTGTCACTCTATGGACAGATAAAGTAGACAAAAAAATATGAAGGAAAAGAGATAGAAGATAAGAACAAAGTAACTGATGAAGTTGAACTAAGAGGTATATATTATATGCTGAGAACACATTTTTTAAAGTGCCCACATTTTTATAAAAACTGTACAGATTAGATCACAAAGAAAATCTTAGATTCCCCATATTGCAAATAACAGAATATATTTTCTGCTTCCCAGGTGGCTCAGTGGTAAAGAATCTACCTGCCAAGCAGGAGACTCAGGTTCGATCCCTGGGACAGGAAGATACCCTGGAGAAGGAAATGGCAACCTACTCCAGTAATCCTAGCCTGGGAAATCCCATAGACAGAGGAGTCTGGTGGGCTATAGTCCATTGGGTTACAAAAAGTCAGATACGACTTAGCAACTAAACAGCAACAGAATATATTTACTAGTTTATATGCTAGAAAAATGCAAGTTATTTACAAAAACAAAGCAACTCTTCTTCAGTCATGAAGAATTAAAAAACTGCCTCAAAATTACTCTTGGCTTAAAGACAACACTGAAGTGAATTTCAGACTGCAGAGAATATAAAGAGAAAGAAAATATTATATATACAGCCAAAACATATGTTCAGCCTTAAATAATAGCTTTAAAATTTGTCTATATAATTAAAGAATGAGTGAATTAAACAAGTATCCAACTCAATAAGTTTGGAAAAAAATGAAAATAAGCCCAAGGAAGAAAGGAAATTAGAGATGAAATTAGAAATTAATGAATTATGGGTGGTGGTGGACAGGAGGGAGGTCCAAGTGGGAAAGGATGTATGTATTCATATAGTTGATTTACTTCATTGTATAGGAGAAACTAACACAACATTGTAAAGCAATTATATTCCAATTACAAAAAGAAACTAATGGATTATTAAGAAGGAAAACAGCATATCTGAAGCAGGATGTAAAATGATAACGCAGAATGCTTGTATTTTTATATATTAAAAAAAGTTTAAGTTATATAATGCACATACATTTTTATATTAAAAATCTATCAATAATTCAATGAATTTTGATCACAAGTAAATACTGAAACACCCATTGCTTATTTTGCTCCAATATTCAGCCTGCTATTACTGACTAACCTAACCAAAGAATTAAAACAATAAAGATGCTATAATAGGCATTTTTAAAACTCAAAGAGCACAGAACTCTATTATATAAAAATTTGAGTATATGGTTGAACGGGTCAATTTTTCTAGGAAAAGATAAGTTAAACAAAATTAACCCCAGGAGAAGGAAAAATTAAACAGTTACTCACAATAAAAGAAACCAAGAAAAGTGCTACCCCCTTTATAAGGGACTGGGAACTGATAATGTCAAATGAATTTTACAAATAATCAAAAAACAGTATTTTTGATGATCCTAAAAAAAAAGTTTCAGAGTTTAGAGAAAGAACAAAAGTTCTAAATTAATTTTTACAGAGTTAGTGCAAATCTAACAAAGAAGACAAAAATAAAACACAAAACTTTCTTTATTGTCACTGCAAAAGTGATGATATTCTACCAATTATCTATTAATTCAATACAGTACTACTTAAAAATAATTAAAAGAACCTTGGAGTTCATCAAACTGAACAAAATGGCAGTCAAGTTCTTTTGGAAAAAGAACATGAGAAAAACAAGACAAAACAAAACACACTTAAAAAAAAAAAAAGGCAAAACAAAAACAAAACCCCCAAACAGTGCAAGATGGTGTTTATAATGAGCAGCAGAGAATGGAGAGGGGTAAATTCTGATGAAAAGGACATCAGAATTTTAAAACACACTGTGAAGTTTTAAAAATTAAAATAGATTAAGGACTTCTTTGGTGGTCTAGAGGTTAAGAATCCAATTTGCAATGCAGGGGACACTGGTCCAATCCCTGGTTGGGGAACTAAGCCCACGAACTGCAACTATCGAAGCTCAAGAACTCTGGGGCCTGTGTGTCACGACTAGAGTCCACGTACCACAAGCAAAGATCCCACAGGCACAATGCAGATCCTGTGTGCCATAACTAGACTCGATGCTGCCAGTTAAAAGAAATATGTTAAAAAAAATCAGTAGAAAAAAAGAGTTTAATAGAGAAGATTGAGGAATGAAAGACTGCTGTAAAAATAGGCCTGCAAAAAAGGAACTTTGGTTTAAGAAAGGGCTTCTCTTCCTCAGTGCTATCGATAACCAGTACTGACAACCAAAAATATCTCCAAACATTACCAAATGTCCCCAGGGGGCAAAACTGAAACGTGGTTGAGAACCACTGGTTTATGATAATGGTGATATTTCAAAACGGAGGTTGGGAGAACGAAAATCACTACTAAATAAAATGCTAAATGGTATTGGAATAATTGACAATTGGTCTGGAAAGATATTGCTGGATCTACTTCTAGTCCATTTATGATTTTCTTATTAATTTATAATTATACAAGTAATATATGTATCTTTTATCCTAGTAAAATCCAAACATTACAGATCTCTAACCCAAGCCCACTTCTCACTACTGACAGACAACTCCTGTTATAATACAGAATATATCCTTGCAGGAGTAAGTGAGCAAACATCTGTTATAAACATAATTTGACTGGGGCGGGGGAAGCTCTAGAAGAAAGCATGTGTGAATAATCTATAACCTAAAACATGAGAGTATTTTGTAAACAGAATACAAAGTTGTTAAGTCATAAACACTAATGTATTAGAATTTGTAAAAATTTTAAACCCTTTATAAAACAGCAAAAATTAAGTTGAAAAGCAGATGAAAACTGGAAAAATTATTTTAATATAGGTAAAGTGCTAATTTCTTATAGAAAGTTATTACAAATTATGGGAAATATGAATAATAGGAACTGGCAGTTAAGAGAAAAATAATTATAAATGCCAATAATCACTTAAAGAAATTTAAATAAAAAATGAGACTCCATTTTTTACCCAACATGTGTTAAGTGTGATCTTATCCCGAAGTTAGTGAGGATGTGAAGAAAATGGTTAAGTTCAACAATTTTTGGTAATTTTAAATGATCCACCTTTCCCGGTTACAATCAAAACACGTTCTTTGACCTTGGAATTCTATAGCAATTGACCCTAGCCATCACGTGTATATAACACTCATAAAAGCATGACCAAAATACAATGAATATTTAATAGCAAAAGACTGCAAACAATGTAACTGTCCATCGGACACCAGTTAAATAAAATATGGCATGTCCATACAAAGGAAACACCAAGTAGTTAATACAGCTCTCAAAGAGCTCTCAGAATTAAGATAACCCTGACTAGTCAACTCTCCCTAACCCAACTCTAGAATCTGTAGGTTCAGTTATACTTTAAAACGAATCCTTCTATATCTGAGTTTTTGCTATTTAGGAACTCAAATAGTTCAACATCAAACAGATATTTGTACATAAATAAAAAAAATAGGAATATATACATGACATGCCTATATGCATTTCTCCTCCCTGGAAAAAAATCACAACAAATTGTGCCATGATAATTGGCCTTTAAATTACGAGGCTTTCACTTCTTATTTTGTGCCTTTCTGCATTATTTGAATTTCCTAATTTTATGCATTTTTTGGATAATGAATATTTCTAAATGTTAAAAAATTCCTTATTGTTAAAATATCAACAAAATCCCGCATAGGGAGATTAATAGCTCATTTAAAATTTTCTTTGTATCTTTATATATGTACAACTAATAATTGCACCTATAATATTTTTAAAAAGTAATAAACACTGTGAGAAGAGTTTAAAAAAAAAAGAGGAAAATACAAAAAGAAAATCAAGTATTAATTCTCAGTAAGTTAAACAGTCTGATAAGACCCTAGGATTTCTCATGAGAAAAAGAAAAAAACTCCATTTAGGAAATGGAAATAAAGTTGATAATTAGACATAAGATGAGGCTATAAAAAACTGCAGAAATATTTCTGAGACGTTTATTTTTCACATACAGTTACATATTACTTACCCAGCTTGGAAAATCAGACCAAGTTGGAACTCGCTGACAGAGGTCCCGGAGAATACGTATGATAATCACACAGGACTGTAGACCATTAGCTCTAGCCTTGAGAGCAACACAAAAATCAACTGAATTAATCTTAGAAATATTAAAAATATCCCTTGATGAAAAAAAAGTTAAAATACCACTGTTCAATGGAAGCTCAGATAAAAATAAAACAAAAATAACCACGCTTAAAATTGGATTCAATGAGCTGCCATTTACAGCGATATTTTATGCCAGGGTTAGTATTTAAAAGCTGATATTTTAGGTCAAAGTAAACAGATTATACAAGAATAATTGTTCTTGATCCCCTGTGAACCTTGACCTGTGTTCATTTAAATCAGTAAACTTAAAAAAAAAAAGTCTGCCTACATTAGAAATAAAAGAAAAAGTAAAGAGCTAAAAAGTTTGTCTAGGGACTGAAAGATTAAGGAAATCTGTTTGGTTTCCTTTCTGTGCCTTTGCATAACTGCAAAGTCACTAAACCAAACAGCTGCTTCCTTACCTTTCATTCCCTACACTTATTAACTTAAGAGAAAGAGGGGAAAAAATCTTAAAACTATACACAAAGCTTTAAACACATATTCCATTATTTAAAGCAAAGTTAATCTGCAGCCTTATGGAATATAATATATATACACAAACATGTGATGTTCCTGAACAAGTCAGCTTCAGATATAGCCACTAAAAATAAAAATAAAAAAACCCAAACTACAAAACACCCCCAAAATCCTAGTTTATTGTCAAATTAATAGTAACTGCAATATGCAGATCTTCATACCCAGCTTTCTAGGTTAACATATTTTCTCATATTTAATTTAAAATAGTATTGCTTGGGCAGTCTTTTGAAATGTTTAAACACAGTTAAACATGTTGCACTGAACTACTCTCTCATAAGGCTACAAGAAAAAAGTAAAATGATGTTCCGAACCTGGAACCACTTAGCGTGGCGTAGAGCAGCCAGAGCGTCAAGGCATTTTTGCCTGTCCAAGACGTCCGGTGGGTCTTTCACCATACCCGAGGTTACATCTAAAATGGATTGAATTGGCAAAATGCAGTGAGGAATGGGTGTTTGACCAGGTGAGCAAGACACTTCCTTAAAGTAGCATCAGTGTCACATGAGCCATTTGAGGGTTCTGTCAGCACTTTAAAGTAACCCAGGAAGTTATTTAACAAATTTACATAAATATAATATGAAGATCAAGAATTAAACTCTTTAATTTAGAAATATAATAAGTAACTTCTACAAATATAACCCTACCCCATCAAAAGAAAATCAAAAGGAAGGATTACTGGATACAGTGAGCCAGCACAAAGACAACAAGAGGGAACACAAAAATCCACCTTAATAAATGAGAATGTACAGTAAACTATCCTGTTTGTTCAGTATTTTAAATGGTCACAGGTTATTTTGGGACTAAAATGTCAAAAAACTCATGATAAATATGGGATGATCAATGTAGTAACAATCATAGAAAAAATAAGGAGCCAAAACCAGGCATTTCTAGGAGCTTAATGATTTCTCTTCCACAAGAGAACCTTAGTTGTAAAGGAATACGAAATGCCCTTTAAAAATTCAAAGTTCCTATAAAGTATTCCAAAGAAAGAACAATTGGAGAGAAACAATGAGTAAAGTAGAAAAGGGCAACAGAAACTAGCATGGTTAAACAAAGTATAGAAATAGAACAGATACAGTAAGCAGAATGGTTTGATGATAAATATGCAGAATCTTTTAAGTTAGAGTTTATAATAACTGATTTTAATCAATTATTATATTAAAACATAAATGAGTTATATAAAACTTGAGAAGAAAATCTGAACCTAAATCAGGGCAAAGGTTAACTTTATATTAATAAACTTCGTTGGAGGGCCACCTTACATTCATCTAAACATATAGGTAAAATGTATATAAAAGTTGCTAATCAAACTATTCATAACTAAATCAATCTAATTCATAATTCTTGGTGATATTAAAACATTTTCTAAATATCAGAAAATAACATGCCAGGCAAGTAGTTTATTGAATTTAGCAGCCTTCGAGATAGAAAGCACCCAAATTAATGGCACATTTAGTATATGATTTAATAAATCATTGAGGGTACCAAATGAATATGAGACAAACGATGAAATATATGATAAAAGAACACATGAAAGATAATTTTAAGAGTAGCACTGCAGCTCTGGGCAAGTTATTTGATGGTATATTTTTATATGAACATTCAGAAATCTTAAGAGATACTTGCCCTTATTTTGAGTAGAAGACATACTAAAAAGCATATTTAAAAAGTGATAAAAAAAATTATATGCCTTGTCTGGGCTTTCTTTTCTTAGTTCTTACTCCTTAAATAATCAGACGGCGTGGATTTTCAGAGAACATATTAGAAGGGAGATTTACAGATACTCAAACACTGTGTGGCATTCTGAAAGTGAACACTGAAAGAGGAACCTGGGCACTAAAAAGAGAGTAGCAAATCAGAAATACTAGAAATTTTTAAAAAACCAATAAATAACCTCAAAATCTGCAAGATCAACTACTGAATCCAAAAATATAGTGAACATAGTAAGAAATGGGCTATTCTGAAAGAAGGAAAAAGGACACCAGAAAGCACAGCTAATTGAAGAACTAAAAAAAGAAACAACAAAAAAACCACTCCCCAAAGGAAGGTTATAGAACAGGCTGAAGAACCCTTTTTTCCATGCCCCTTATTTACTTACATTATTTGCTAAAGCTAAAATGCAAATAGGTGATAATGTGCAATCTCTAAAGAAGTTTCTGAATCTTAATGTTAATTCTTGTTTTAATTTCCTCCAATGTAAGAAAAAGTTTTCTTTTTGCACACAAACATTTATAACTTCAGAAATTTAAATTAATGATAAAATTTCAAAGATGCCAAGACACCTATTGCAATTTAAAAACAAATTAAGAGCTATAAGTAGGAAACTTCTGTCAAATTTAGAGTGTGGATTTTTGCACCCAATCTATATTTCAAGTGGATTAACCCCTTAGATATATTGTACTAAAATCATACTTGCTTCCTAATACCCAGTTAACAAACAAAAATTAATTAAAAAAAAAAAAAGCAAATTCTTATCCTACGAGAGGTATTTTATGAATTTTAAGGGGTTAATCACCAGTTAGAAGACACGCTGTGTCCACACTATTTTATGATTAAAAGTTAATGGGAATATATTAATTTAAATTAACACGGTTATGTAAAATATATAATCCACCCAACAATTTAAAAACTAGTGTGAACACTGCTCAATTCTAGAAGAGACAAAGACAATACAAACAGAACAGCCACACAAAGGACAATAAATGCCAGACTCTGCATCCAATATCCCTCTTTAAATCAAATGGCAGGTGTGACACTGAGCTTTTGAAAACCTTGGTCAAAAATCCTTCCGATGTCTTGGCAGCAACCCCTGACAGGAATCAATTCCCTCTGCTAGAAGGCTTTGGACCGGGCCTGATAAGCTAAAGGTGGAAAAAAACACACACAATACTTGACTTGCTACAGAAGAGACGCTGTAGCAAGGGTTAGAACATTTGAACAGTTTAAGCTTCACGTCAATTAAAGGTTTACTTAATGTTTAACTGCCAAACACAATACTGTAAAATAGATTTGTCATGTGTTTAACAGTTATTTGGAAAATTTAATCATATCCTTTAAATAATTTTTGGTATTAAACAGGACCATTATGCATTTAAGAGCCTACCACAACTATGTGCAAGTCACCAGTCTCGTGGTTTACAAGTACTCTTCCGGCAAAGCCTTCCTTACCCTTGGACTAACTCCCCAAAGCAAGCTAGAGGCTTTAAATGATTTTAAGACACAGAGCATTCAGAGCTGCAGTGAGGGAGAATACATACCGTTATTCTGCAGCAATCTTCATTAATGAGGCTAAACACATGGTTTACTGCAGTTATCTGCAGCAAGGAACACTATCAATGTTTCTACACTTTTTGCACATCCAACTTTTCAGCTCAGTGTCTTGAAGAAAACCTTTCAATTTTGGACTGATTGTTTCTTTCACCGTAATACTTATGAAATTCAGAACAATAATTCTAACTCAAGTTTGGGTCAGACAAAAGTATAATTTTGTTTCCTTTAGAAGGGATAGATTATTAAAGACTATTACAAATATGATAATTATTTATTCAGGCTTTTGCAACAAAATAAAATGACTTGATACTGTATAAATTTAAGTAAACCTAAATATAACTGGACAAAATGTGCTCTGAAATAAAGTTAAGTGGTTATATAAGTATAATTTCATACTAAATACAGTAACTTTTATCTGTAACATAATCAAGATTTCCTTTTCAAATCCTAAGAGTCATATGCTGCATCCAAATTGACCAGATTGATTCAGGAACTGTTTTTCCAGCAATATCCACAGCCAGACCTTCAGTGGAAATTCATGCTCATATAAAAGATCCTTTACATAAAACCCACTTATTTTTAAGATAAAAGCTTATACTACGTACAAGTCCTGATATATAGTATATCTATATTATGTATGCAAAGTTAGGCAAGTCTCTTAATGATCACATTTTTAGTAAAGATGTTCTTTTCCTGGGTTGTGTAAAGCCCAGTGCCTTAAAAAAAAAAAAAAAAAACTGCTTTGCTGTAAGAAAACAAATTTAAAGGGACAGTAATTGAGAGCCTACTCATGCTATTTTAGACAAATTAATTTGAAGTATTCTTTTCTCCTCTATCTGTATCACAAAGTAATATTAGTGTAGACTATATAACTCCGTATTCAACCAATTAAGATGTACAAAAACAACATGAAAGGAAACAAAGTAAACTTTATCTGACCCATAAAACAACAGAACCAACATACCGCAGACACTGACCATGCTTTTTGGCTTAAAAGCTTTTGAAGCTTTGAAAATGTTATAGGACAGTCCCTAAAGCAACATTGCTGGCACCAGCAGGATTTCATAGTCTACAATTGCAAAGTAAGTTAAAAACCCCTAATTGTGCTATAACTCACTAACTACGCCTATCATCATTTATTTCTCAAATCTCTGGTAGAAAAGTGGGGGTCAGATGCCCAAATCTAAGTGCATTTATGAAAGCGCTCCAAACCAAAGAGCAACCTCAGAGAACCAGAAATATTTACCTCAGGACAAGCCAAATCCATGATTACATATATAACAATGTCTCTTAAACTGTTATGAGTATTCAACCAATTTTACTTATGAAACTCGCTTGTCTTTTTTAAAGACAAGAACAGGACCTAAAAGAAGTTAAATTTGTGGCCCTTTACTAGCAATATTTAATTTTTCATAAGTCAACTATGCTTATGACTAAGAATAATTTAAACTTTTCCAGAAATCTGAGGTTAGCAAGAAAAGAAAAGAAAAAAAAATCAAGAAAATTAATAATACCATGACTGTTTTATATAAAAGTACATTATTAAAAAGACATTAATAAAAGATCTGGGAAATAACCTTAAGCAAAACTAGTTGCTATGTAAGTCAAATCTATCAGATTCATATGTAATGCCAGCATGTTGCCTTCTAGGGCTTAATGCCATCTTAAAGAGTAGGTAAATGGGAAAAAAAGAAGTTAATAAAAAGTAGAATGTTTAATGGCTTTCCAACCTCCTTCCCTCATGTTCTCTTCTCGAATAATTGGAGATGTCAGGGTGATAGTGACTTGCATTTTGGGTTCCACACATGAGTTCAAAATTATTGCCGCTTCAGAAACAGCACATTTTATGTCATACTTCTCAGGACTTATAACCTATATAATGAAGAGCACAAGAAATTAGCTGGCCCTCTTACATTAGCAAACAAAGCAGTTTCATTATAGCTCTTTCACTGTCTCACACTACTTTAACCATTTTGTAAGGATTAGATCATATATTATTTCCCTCCAGGCCTTGCAAAACATGCAAATTATAATCTCTTGCTCCTTTTTCCTTTTAGAATTCCTTGTTCAACTAATATTTACCATTATTGTATCATATGAGTTATCTGTATGTGTGTATGCACCTTTTAGATGATGAATTTTTGGATGAAAGAAACACTGCTATAGTTATTACCATACCTTCCTAAAATAGCACCTGGGCAACTATTATTGCAATATTTGCAGAATATGAATGAGACTAAAATAGATACCTGAAACTAACAGGAGCCATAATTCAACCATACCCAGTGCACCTTGTCTGTGAAATCAACAAATGTACATTTTATTTTTATTAGCTGGAGGCTAATTACTTTACAATACTGTAGTGATTTTTGCCATACACTGACATGAATCAGCCATGGATTTACATGTGTTCCCCATCCCGATCCCCCCTCCCACTTCCCTCCCCATCCCATCCCTCTGGGTCTTCCCAGTGCTACATTTTAAATCAGGGAGCAAAAAAATAAACAAATAAATCAGGGAGCAGAAAGTCTTGCTCAACAGAAAAAAACAAAACAAAACAGGATTCATTGCAATTTAGCATACATATAAGCTTCAGTATATATGAACAAAGGAAGACTCTAGAAATTACACAGAGTGTTCCCAGTATACGATCTAAGTTCACTTGGAAGGACTGATGCTGAAGCTCCAATAGTTCGGCCACTTGATGTGAAGACCCAACTCATTGGAAAAGACCTTGATGCTGGGAAAGACTGAGGGTAGGATAAGGGGTGACAGAGGATGAGATGGTTGGATGGCATCATATTCAATGGATATGAGTTGGAGCAAACTTCAGGAGATAGTGACAGACAGGGAAGTGCGGTGTGCTGTAGTCCATGGGGTCGTAGAGTTGGACATGACTTAGTGACTGAACAGCAACAACAATCTAGGTTCAAATTCTAGCTCTGCTACTTTACTAATGACGTGAAGTTGGGCAAATATTTAACTCCCCATACCTGTTTTTATAAAATGGGAACAGTAAAATTGATCTAACCTGTAAGACTGTTAAGAAGAATGGATGAATTAACCACACAAAGAACTGAAAACAGTGCCTGGCACACAGCATCACGTACACGTGAACCGTGACAGTGGTGGTGACAGTTCTCTCTCCTGCTTACCCACTATACAAGGACAAACTGATCTGGAAACTGTATTTTGGTTTTGGGCTTCCCTGATGGCTCAGATGGTAAAGAATGTGCTGTAAAGCATTAGTCAGTTGAGTTAGAATATAACATTTTCTCCTTTGTAGTTTTACAAAACACAACAATTTAAGATTTTTTTTGCAAATTACATAATTTTTCAAAGTCCTCAAGCTTCTTTTCCTTTTACTGCCCTGGCAGCCTCAAGATATAGTAACAGGTAGACACACAATGACAATTCTCCTGGCTCCTAATGCTCCTTTTTAGCCTCATCCACAATTAAAAAAAATCTCACGTCTGGAACAATGGTAATATAAAGCAAACAACAGTAAATCAGAGCTCAAGTTTAATAGCATGCTTCACTATCCATTTTGGTATTGGCTGGTCTGCTGTGGTCAGGTACTATTTATTCTAACATTACTGCAGAACACATGCTACCAATGAAATGCCAATTCTTGAATTTCAAATACCTAAATAAGTTTTATACATTAAATTATTCAAGGAACCTGTGTTTAATTCCAGTCTGTGATTCTGACAAGATACTGTAATAAAAAATTTTTTAATTCAAACTTAAAAAAAAGTTTTGTTTTTGTAGGACCAAAAAGGGATATTCTATTAATTGAATTTGCCACAACTTACTGGATAGAGACAAAGACAAGTCATTGTTACCGTTATAACATGTACAAAATGGAAAGTAATCATAATAAAGCTGGGAAAATTCAAATCAGAAAGTCTCTATTTGAGTTACTATATTTTATTAAAAACATGTATTCAACTAAATAGGCAAGAAGTTCATGAATTCTAAAACTTTAAGCTTACTATACATACATGGGCTTTGTTTAAAAAAAAAAAATCAAAAAATGAAATTTTTCCCTGAACAACTGTCTTCTCTTATGATTCAAATCTTGGAAAAAGAACAGGAAGAGGACATGTGCTGCAGTTTTACATTTTAAAATAAATTAGCAAGATGGCTTCATGTTGAAGAGAAGCACCATAAAACCTAAAAATTTAACAAAGTAGAAAACTGTGCTACCAATTTGTACAGTCAAGCAATTTGGAAAGTCAAGCCAAAACTTCAAAGGCTGGCTTAGGTTTAAGCTGAAGCAGGTAGTCCTGCCAAAAACTTCTGAACTAAGACAAGGGGTAAAAATGAACATTTCCATAATACTTACAGCAAGCTGCTTGGGTAGGTTTTCTGCAATACGGCTTAATAATGTCTTTGAAGGTTTCTCTGAGCACAGCAAAACAAGGTTGACATTTCTATCTCCTCGGAGAAGTAATCCTTTCGCTAATACTCCCACTCGCAAAACTCCTTTTAAAGCTCTGCAGTGAAATCAAATTATATTATGACATTTCCCTTCTTAACCATAACCATGATAATCTCTCAACACACAGTAGTAAATGAAATAATTTCACATCATTAAGATTTGTATCAACTACAGTATAAGAATAGTTAATATTTTCAGAAATACCCTTTATTTAGATAAGAAATATGAAAAAATTAATAAACCAAGAGCTAAGTTCTCAGGAACAACTGCAAAGCAAAGGCCATTAATGCCTTTCTGTCTCATAAATTAGAATAACAAAAGTCATGTTTAATATACACAGATATAAAGATGTTGCTAAAATTTGAGCTTATTCATGCTTATGGGTCAATGTGTTAAAGATAAAATGAGCTGTTAAAAGAATGAACGTGGAACAGATGCAACAAATGAATAAACACTGAATAGCTGAATGCAACTGGAAAACTACAATGGCTGCTTTGAAAACAGACTTGAAATAGTTTTATATGAGTTTAAATACAATGAGTAAATTACAAGGTTGGAGATTGTATGAAATTATACTATTTTTCATTTCAGCAGAAAGCAGCTGAAAACATTTAAAACCTAACATAAGCACAACACATACAGACTGATACCAGAGAATTTTCAGTCTTTGTAACTTTCAAGTATAAGGTAAGTCTATATAAGGAAAACCAAAACTATACAAAAGTAAAAAACTCTGAAAACACACCTGTCTTTACCTCCCTCTTTCTTATCATCTCCCTCTTTGCTCTTGCTCTTCTCGTGTTCAGACAAGCTGTCTGAAACAAGTTTTAAAGCACGTTCAGTGATAGAAACAATTTTCTGAACCGCCTGTAATTCCTCTTCAGTTGGATAAATGGTAGCATGCTTTGTCATTACATAACGATCGTCAGATGAGTCAGGACGACGTAAGGGCTGGAGATGGGAAAAAAAAAAGATAACTCCATTAAAAAAATGTTTTCCAAGCAAAAGTAAACTATTATTTTTCAACTACACATATGCTTGTTGCATTTTTCAATAAGAAAGCCAGTTATACTGAATGTCCACTTAAAGCTTTCTTCTCCTTTTTTTCCCATTTTGGTAAAAACAAAAATGTAAACTGTAGAAAGGTACAGTATCGAAAGTAAGTATGTATGTTATGCACTCAAAACAAGTTATAATACATACCATCTAAGGTTATGAAAATACATTTTATACAACTTTATTTTTTTTTAGTTCTACCACTTTATTGCTACCAACCCATCTGCCTCCACCCTCGTGCACACATGCTCAGTCATGTAACCCCATGGACTGCAGCCCGCCAGGCTCCCCGTCCTTTTCCAGGCAAGAATACTGGAGTGGGTTGCCATTTCCTTCTCCATTTTATACAACTTTAAAAACAGTTCTGAAACGTTTTGCTTTTAACAAAACAGATTTTACAAATGCTTATTCTATGGAAGGACAAATGAGAAAGAATAGGTTAAAGCGCAGGAATTTGGACTGTTTCCTTCTAAGTGCTCTCTGGAACACCAGAACAAAGAAAAAAAACCACCTTGTTTTCTATAGACTGAACTTATATGAAATGCTCCTCATAAGCCAGGTATTTTTTACCTAGCTTCTACAGAACGCAGACTCTCTAGATGCACCTCTCTTCTACAGTTCTCCTAATACAACCACTGTGTGTTATCTCCAACCATTTACCTACCCTTTGTGTGCTAGTTGCTCAGCTGTGCCCAACTCTGTGACCCCATGGACTCTACCTACCCCTTATCATGCACTTAAATTTAGAAGTAGTGGTAGGTTTTGAACGCTAAAGATTTAAAAAAAGGACTCTAAACCATACATAATGGGAAGACAGAAATAATTCTAAAGCCAAAGCAACAGCGTTCAGAATTAGTTGTTCTTGATAATCTAAAGAACAAAGGCAAAAAAAAAAAAAAAACCCACCTCTTAAGATCTGCTCCCTTAGCTTATACTGAAAATAAGAAAGATTCATGGAAATTCTACGAAGTCTTTATACAAAAGGACACGAGTTGAGAAAGTATAAAAAAAGGAGAGAAAATCCCAAATCAGATGAAAAACATATTGAGATTTGGATATTATTAAGTCTAAAAATTAGCTCTTCAAACTTTTATTTTCTAATGCTGAACCAGTCTTATACTTCCACTGCCTATGTAAACAAAGTGGACACTCACTGCAGGCCCCTGTGGCTGAGGAGGCATGCCTGGTCGGACTCCCAGAAGGCCTAGTGGGCCCGGGGGACCATGAGGATAGCCTCCATCAGGCATTCGGCGGCGATCATCCCAATGATGCTGTTCTTCCTCCATTCTTCTCCAATACATGTCCTCTTCATAACGTCTGAAACATAAAGAATGATACTGTAAGCCACTTAGAAAAATACACCCCAAGAATTTACATCAGTAATAATATAGAAAGTAATAAAAACCCCCAAATCAGTCTAGCTAACACCTTTCTTTCCCCCTCTGTATCAGATTACATTTGCCTTCATCAATTAGTGAATGAAAGTCAATCCCAGTGAAAAGATGAGAAAACAAAAGATAAAAGCAAAACAAAATTTCATAGTCTGAAGACAGAGTTGAAAAAACAAGCATCAGAAACCTCACAGTTCATTCCAACCTCTCCCTCTTTACAGTAGAAATTGTAAACTTAAATGCCTACCTAATGTGGCCAGACTAATAAAGTGTGTGAGTGAAAGACCCAAAGAACACATTCAGGAATTTTCCTCATGTCTTCAAAGAAATGTGCTCTATTTTTTTTGTAAGAGAGAACTTCTTAAGACAACCTTTAATTTCCTCATCTGATACAGAAAGAGACAAAGACATTTTTCTACAATGAGGAAAAACAACAGGGATAAATGGCAACTCACATCCCATCTCACTTTTGGGGACATGATAAGGATGATGGGAAGTATGGTAAAGAAGGAAAGCACATGCTCTGGCTAGAGACAAGAGGGCGGCACAGCTATTAATTACTGTCACAAGGGAATACCAGATGGTTATCCCAAGGTCAATCAGGACTTTTGTGAAATCTCATGGTCTTTAAATGTTGATTCATGTTGGTGTCCAAAAAATACTATGGGCACCAAATAAAACACCCATGGGCTGAACTTAGTGGGCAGTTAGCGTGTATCCTCTATTTTAATGGTCAACATTTTTGGAATCTAATTTTTCATCACATGACTCTCTCCCTCTCAGTTCTATCTTTGCCTTCAGCTTCAAACCAGGATACCAATAATTCCCTAGGCAGTCATGTCTTTGAAGCAAATTTTTGTTAACAGTAAATTTTTACTACACAAATTGATTTAATACAAAATGTTAAGAAAGAAGTATGCCTCTCAAGTAGTACTGTAGAAACCATCAATTTCTTCAGGTCAGGAATAAGCAGTGCTTTCTGGGTCATCCAATTTAGGACAGATAGAATCATACTTCTAATTTTATTCAGGTCTTGAGAGAAAATGAATAAAAACAGCTTGAAGGCTCTGGAAAACCATGTTCATTCTAGTTTTGAATACTCTATTATTACTAATGATGCTTAGGTTACATAAGGGTATATTTAAATACCAATTGTCTACCAATTCATACTTGGTAAACATAGTATACTACAGTGCCTAACACACTATATACTGCTTCCTGGCATACAGTAAGTCCTTAATAAATATTCGATAAAGCAGTAAAAGAGGAAATAACTGCATAATCTAGATATAGAGAAAACTTGCCAGTGCATGACAAAGGAAGAAATTTCATAAGAATAAAGTTAAATACATAAAAAAATAAAAATTGATACATAAATAACAGTAAAGATTATTTAAAGATAACATGTTAATGGGTTAATAGCTATAAGAAGTGTTTGTACAAATCTGTTAACAGGTAAGTTAACAAAGGAATAGGCAATTCACCACAAAAGAAATCTAAGTGATTAAGCATGAAATAAAAATTTAATTTGCCAACAATACAAAGTTGAAATAAAACTGGCTTTCAGGTTTCTATTTCTCACAGGCAGATATTTTAATAATTTATAGGAGCAGCCCTCAAAGTGTGGTCTGGGTAGTCTAGGTAGTCCTTGAGACACCTTCGGGGGAATTCATGACATCAAAGTTACTCTCAAAATAATATTTGCCTTCTCTATTCTCTTTCTCCTATGAGTCTACAGTGGACTTATCCAGAGGCAAAATGTGTTATCACAACCTGTTGAGCACAGAAGCAGAAGGAGAATCACGTTGCCTTAAGCTAGACATTAAAGAGATCTGCAAAAATGTAAAATATTGTCATTATTTCTGGGGGAGAAACAGTTATTTATAGTTAGCATATATTTAATGTTATTATATTAATAAATACACCTGATTTAATATTGTAATTATTAATAATATTTAACTACATTTAAACAAATACAAAGTTATATAAAAATAAGTTCCTAAATACTGAAACTTCTCAGTTTTCATTTCTAATACAATGTTGACAGCCTATAACCCACATACACAAAAACTCTTCAGAGTCTTCAATAATTATTGAGTTATAAAAGGTCCTGAGACCAAAAAGTTTGAGGATCACTAAGTTAAACTATCTAGCACAGGCAAAAGTACAGGTATCTGTCAAACATTTTTGCTTCTGGGATTTGATTAGTGTCAACTGATAGTGATTTATACAATAATACTGCCTCAAGGATGGTCAATGTAATAACAACAATAGGGAAATACTATTAAAAACTCTATAAATATCTAAAAATATATGAAACGGGTTATAAAGAAAATTTTACATCTGCACAAAAAAGTAGGTATGTAAATGAAAAAAAGTGGGTTATAAAAACTTGTACACAAACACTTATGGCAGCAGTATTCATAACCCCAAAGTGGAAATAACACAAATGTCCATCAATTGATAAACAGATAAATAAAATGTGACACACTTATGTAATGAAATACTATGCATGCATAAAAAAATTAGTACTGATATATGTAATAACATACATGAACCTTGAAAACATCATGCTAAGTGAAAAGTAGCCAGACACAAAAGTCAATATGTTTTATGATTCCATTTATATAAAATCTCCAGTAGAGGCAATCTACTAAGATGAAGTTTATTAGTGGTTGCCCAAGAATAGAGCGAGGAGTTGGTGGGGGAAATAGGTATGGATTGCTAAATGGGTTTGTGGTTTCTTTTGTGGGTCATAAAGATGTTCTAAAATTGACTGTGCTGATAACTGCACAACTCTGTGAATAAAACCAATGAATTGTGCCACTTAAAGATATGCCAGTTATATCAATAAAACTAAACAGTTCTGTATCTATTGAACATATTTTCTCATTCCTCCTTTCCTGTAGCCTCTAAAGATATTATTTCCAAAATAAGTCCTAATACCAAGGACATGGTCAAATATTAGAATAGCCAGAATAACTCTAATGCATTTCTTTCCTAGACCTAGTGTCTCCCTCACAAGTGAAAACTAAAAATATTTCAAATAAATCTGGATTGCTCTGAATGGGAGTCATACTCAGAACAGCTAAGTTTCTTAGAAAGTCTAAACCACCTATGATGGTACTAAAAGTTAAAAATACTACCTCATTTCCATTCTCCAGCGTTCTTCCTCTTCTCTTCTTCGCCAATACTCCTCTTTCTGCATCTGCTTTCTCATTTTCTCTTCTTGAATCTTTCTTGCTCGAATACTGGGCTTTACTTCTACTTGCAAATCTGGATTTACTTTTTTCTGTTAACATAGATAAGATGTTTGAAAAACCAGCAATCCTTCCAACAATCTACACATATCTTAAATCATACAATCCCACACATTTTTTCATCATAGAGGCTTTTATTTGCAAATCTATTTTAAGAGTAAATGCAGTAAAATAAGTTGAATCAGAGAAAAACTCAAAATACATTCTTAACGTTCTTTCTTCCTTCCCATCCCCAAAATTCTTGGTTGTTCAAGTTTAGTACGCAAAAAGTACTTAACTTAGTGTTAACCAATAAAAGAAATCCTTGGGAGACTGATGGGTATTTAATATTCCTTTGTTTGTTTGTAAATAAGTGATTCTAGATATGAGTGTGGGGTTAAAAACTTTTTTTCTTATAGAAGTACTACTGCCCCTTAACAAATTATTTTTAATCTTCACCACTTCTGTGTTTAGAAAACATGAATCTAGTGCATAAGTCCAACCTAATTAAAAATTTTATTTGAAGTATTTAGATTTAACTTATTACTTGGAAGTGTTTTCAACAAAAAATTCCTCATCTCAAAATTCACTTTAATGGAAATTCTGCTAAGATGAAGGAAATGGAGACCTGACACTTCTTTCAAACACTTCCTTTGAAGCAACTATTTTTACATGGTTACTTGATCCAAGTAATGTCACAGTTTTATTTTGCCACTAGAAATAATGAAATACAACTACATTGCTTTTTCTTAAATTTAACAAAAGTGATAGGTACTCAGTTGTGTCCAATTCTGTGACCCCAAGGACTGTAGCCCACGAGGCTCCTCTGTCCATGGAATTCTTTAGGCAAGAACAATGGAGTAGGCTGCCATGCCCTTCTCCAGGCAATCTTTCAGACCCAGGGATTGAACTCGGGTCTCCTGCATTGTAGGCAGATTCTTTACCATCTGAGGCACCAGGGAAAGCCCTAAGCATAACAAACTAATCAATAAAAACTAAACATCTAACTCTCTAAGTAAGACACGACATGCCAACCTGAGAGTGGGAGTTCATGGACTTAGTGAGTTATATTTAGAAGCTTTATTTCTGCATCTAGAATATTCCAAACCATATAAAAAGAGAAAGAAAAAAATAGCTGAAATTTTCCTCACTTTATATTGAAGTCTGTGTCTTCGTCCTTTCAAATGCATTTCCTTAGCATTGGGATCATTAAAGCTGCACTCACATAATTTGCAATGAAATCGAATCACTTTTCCTTCATCATTTCGTACCTTGATGTCCAGAAAAAAAGAAAAAGTCAAGAAATCACAACAGGAATGTCACAGGTGAAGATTTCACTTATAAACCCATCTCATGAGTTATAAATAACTTTCAGAATTTATAGTTAGAAAAGGGGGGGCAATGTCTATACTTTTTGAAGAGGACATCTACAGAAATGAACAGGGTTAGAATTTTTAACTGTACAATGCAAGATGTGTTACCATGTATTTGTCTCTTAAACTTTTAATATTTTCCTCTATATGTAAACATTGAGATTTTAATACAATAGACACCTTCAATTCTTGAAAAAATATTTACTGAATACCTGTTCCTGCCAGGTACTGTTCTTGGAAATGGAGCTAAAGATGATCAAAGGCATTATTCTCATTTATTTCTACAAAGCCCAAGACTTTATACATGTACAACTTTACTGAAAACCAATGTCAATTTTTTTTTCTAACTGCACAACCAGTTAGGAAGACAAGTAGACTAGAATGTTATTAAAAGTTATTAAAACTTCAGCAAGTTTTAAAGATTGGTTCTAAACACAATCCTCTGAAGTTTAAGATTACTTAACCAAAAAAAAAAAAAAACCGATTACTTAACCAGTATCATTGGTTATTAAGGTATTCTGGCCAGATGTTCTGGCTGTACTTTTTTTTGAAACATACAAGTCTTACTAACAGCTAAAGGTTTATTATTTATTTATTTAGAAGTTTATTAACCTTTAAATGTCTTTTTTTGTTGTTGCCTTACCATGCTGGCATTGTGGTATCTTAGTTCCCTGACCAATGAAGTGGAAGCAAGGAGCCCTAACCACTGGACCGCCAGGAAATTCCCAACACCTATAACTTTAAATTAAAACTGCATGTGAATGACTTATAAACTACACAGCCCAGTTGTCCATCTTGTAAACAAAGAATTCAATAATTAATTTTTCTTGATGGAAAAGAATGAAGGAACAAATAAATATTTGCCAAAAATCCACCATATGCTAGGCACTGTGCTTAGGTACTTTATTTGATCTAAGCTTCACATCTTCACTGGGAGATAACCAAATTTTACAGATGCAGACACTGAAATTTAGAGAACTTGTTATTTTCAGCTGTTCTATAGTACAGCAAAAGCAGAACAGGGCTACACCACTGTATGTTCATCTTTCCACTAACAGCAAAAATCGATCAAGTCCCTTCTGATACTTCCTTATCCTCCATTTACTAAATTATTTTGTAAAACAGGAATAGTTTTCTAATCAGCTTGAGAAATCATATAAACAGTTATCTGTTAAATCAGTAATCTAAATTTTACACACAAAACTGTTCAGAAAGAAATATTTGCTATCTTTGTCATTTCTGTTGTTCACATTTTTTTTTACTTTTTACGTTTGGCACAGTAGAAGGGTTATGTTTAAAGAAGGCCTGCCAAATAAACAGAAAGTTATTTCACATACTACAGTGATGGGGTCAGCAGGGAAAGAGAAAATTCAACAAAAAAATTGTGATGTCACTTAGGCAAGCTCAAAGGGCAGGCTTAAAAAAAAAGAACACAAAACCTTCAACAAAGATCCCTTCAATATCCCTTTATAAGTAATCTAAACCTAAAATATAATTGAATTTTACATGTAAAGCACACTTGTGACAAAGTGACACACGTCCTTCCTATCTAATCTCACAACAGGAGTATTCTCAAATCAATACCTCCTCCACATAATCATGGCCCACTGGTTGCACATCGCTCTGCAAAGCAGCAAGAGACGCAGGTGTGACTGGTTCTGACACTGTGTCTGGCTTTACTTCTGGAATTGGTACAGAAGTGACAGGAGTGTTTTTAACACTTTCAGTTCCTTTTAAGTCTTCTGTTTTATTTCCTGTTGACTGCAGCTTATTACCACCTATAACATAAGAGAATTACAGTAATTTTAATTTTCTTCCTATATAATGTATGAACTGATACAAGAACTCCAGATAAAGTTCTGATCTTTTCTACCAACAAACTTTGACATACAATAGATCAGAGTTTTGAAGAACCATATAAACCATTTGGCTTTTTTATGCTATTAATGAAACACATGTCTCTATCTTCCCATTCTCTCTCTTGTAATATTCAATGGTCCTCTCTGTCCTCACCATGGCTCTTATAACAAGCTTATATCCCTTTGCCATGGAACTGGGCACTATCCTAAGTTCTAGTAACATAATAATACAGTGTGGCTGTCTTTGAGGTGCCAACAATTTAGGGTCATGTATGGATATGAGAGTTGGACTATAAAGAAAGCTGAGTGCCGAAGAATTGATGCTTTTGAACTGTGGTGTTGGAGAAGACTCTTGAGAGTCCCTTGGACTGCAAGGAGATCCAGCCAGTACATCCTAAAGGAGGTCAGTCCAGGGTGTTCATTGGAAGGACTGATACTGAAGCTGAAACTCCAATACTTTGGCCACCTGATGCTGGGAAAGACTGAGGGCAAGAGGGGGACGACAGAGGATGAGATGGTTGGGATGGCATCACCGACTCAACGGACATGGGTTTGGCTGGACTCTGGGAGTTGGTGATGGACGGGGAGGCCTTGGTGTGCTGCAGTTCATGGGGTCGCAAAGAGTCAGACACGACTGAGTGACTGAACTGACTGACACATTATTATAGTACAATGTGTTAACAGAGTATTTTGGGAATGTAAAGTAAAGGAGCCACTACCCTTTAACCTGATCCAGTTAGGAATAGCTTCAGCAAGTATGACACCAGGGCTGGGCTTAAGAGTGCTAGGTATGAACTGGTCAGGCAGAAAAAAAGACAATTAAGTCTAAACAGAAAGAACACTAGGCACAAGCAAAACACAAAAACATGGAGTTAAAAAGACTATGGTAACTATGGAATTGAAAGAGACATGTGTACCTCAACATTCACTGCAGCACTGTGTACAATAGCTGGGACATGGAAGCAACCTAGATGTCTATCGGCAGATGAATGGATAAGAAAGCTGTGGTATATATATACAATGGAGTATTACTCAGCAACGAAAAAGAACACATTTGAATCCGTCCTAATGAGGTGAATGAAACTGGAGCCTATTATGCAGAGTGAAGTATGTCAGAAAGAAAAACACCAATACAGCATATTAACGCATATATATGGAATTTAGAAAGATGGTAATGACGACCCTATATGCGAGATAGCAAAAGAGACAGATATAAAGAACAGACTCTGGGACTCTGTGGGAGAAGGCGAGGGTGGGATGATTTGCAAGAATAACACTGAAACAAGTATATTAACATATGTGAAATAGATCATCAGTCCAAGTTTGATGCATGAAACAGGGCAGTCAAAGCTGGTACACTGGGACAACCCTGAGGGAAGGGATGGGATGGGGAGGGAGGTGGGAGGGGTTGTTCAGGATGGGGGACACATGTACACCCATGGCTGACTCCTGTCAATGTATGGCAAAAACCACCCACAATATTGTAAAGTAATTAGCCTCCAATTAAAATAAACAAATAATAATAATAAAAAGACCATGGTAAATTCAAAAAAGACTTGGTAATTCAATAGGACTTATCACCGAGGTACAGGGCTTCCCTGGTGGCTCCGACGGTAAAGAATCTGCCTGCAATGCAGGAGGCCTGGGTTCGATCCCTGGGTTGGGAAGATCGACTGGAGGAGGGAATGGCAACCTACTTCAGTATTCTTGCCTGGAGAATCCTATAGACAGAGGAGCCTGGCAGGCTACAGTCCATGAGGTCACAAAGAATCCGACAGGACTAAGTGACTAAGCACAGCACAGCACTGAGGTAGAGGTAATGTTATCTGAGGTAGAGGTTAATTTGTGAAAGGACTTGGAAGACATCATTAAGGAATAGACATTTTTCTTATATGCAAGGGGAAGGTCACAGAAAATTTTTAAATAGGAAACTAACACAGTTTGATACATTTTTTTTTTACAAAACGACTTTGACAAAAGTGTTGCAGAAACTGGATGCAATGAGACCAAGCTCTGAGGAAGCAGCTTTGAAGGCCTAAAAAAAAGCAGAGGCTATGAAGAGAAAAAGACACTTTTTGGAGAATATTGTAGTGACAGAAACAAAAGGATCAGAAACAACTGGAAGAGGCAGCAAGTAAGAAAAAATGTCAGTGGACTTTTTCATGTGAAAAAGCAGCAGCTTTATGAGATTACTTCAGAGTACTCTTGTGATGAGATAAAATGTTAGAAACAGACACTAACAGGCATCAACAGAACCATACAGACAATAACTAGGAAATACCTAAAATATGGTTCTAGAACTCAGGTGGGCATTCTGAATTTGCCCAAATGATTTTAAAGTTACTACATACACAGTGGAATAGATAAGACCACTCATGAATACTACGTGAGTGAGATGAGAGTCAGAATCAGAATCTTAGCAATACTACCAGCTAATGAACATGAGAGCCAGAGAACCAATAAAGATATCTGAGGAAGGAGTCAGTGGACCCAAAATAGAGACATAACTAAAGGTTTAAGGTATAGCAGTCAACTGTTTCAAATGTTAGAGAGGTCAACAGGATGAAACAGAAAACTGGCCATTCAATGTGGCAAGTAGGTTTTTGGTGATTTCAGAAAAGGCTAGAGTTGAAATACTATAATAAGAGACTGAGGACTGGATAGGAAATAGAGAAAGTAAGAATTAGGTGAGCAGCCTGAGGAACAGTAAAATAAATACATATATATTTATAAGTCTATGGCTGAAGAAAATGGAACTGAAAAAACTTCAAGGAAAAAAAATACATATATGTGATTAAATAAGGTCCCAGAAAAGAAGACAACTGCATAAGTAGAAGAGCTAGTACTGGAGTAGAGGAGAAATACCACTTTAACAGAGTTAGAAGGAACACAGAATCTTTAGTACTTGCCAACAAAGTTTATTTTGGGTGTAGATGTTTTCTTGGCAGCCATATTTGCAGGCACTGATGATACTTTAGTGTTGGCTGTGCTATTAAGAGACGAGTTTCCTGTAGTTGTAAGACCCTTCACTGAAGAAGTTGCAATTGATGAAGTATTCACAGTACAATTGCTTGCTGCAATGCTTGAAGGAGAGGCAGTTGGCTTTGAAGCAGACACAGCTGTTGAAGAAGTAGCTTGGCTAACAACGTTTGGTTCTGTTGAAGGAATGGGTTTACCAAGTTTTGTGTGTAATTTAACCACCTACAAAATAAAAGCATATTTATCTGTCAGAAAACTCAGAGAATGTAGATTTTTTTTTAAAAAGTTTGCCTAAAAGACCCTAAAAAATGAAAATCTTAACCATATTTTTCTTTGTTGTATTTCTTTCTCATACATTTTAAAATAAAAACTCATTACTTTCAAAACAATGTGTGAAACAGATTCGGATACATATTCCATCTACCACTCAGCGAGGAAATGACTTGGCCACATGCATACCAACCTACACTTAAGCATAACAGAAGGTGGAAAACAACTACATGATTCAATTTCAGTTGGTGGGAAAAAAACGACCGAGTTCAATTTTAAGAAGAAGGGTCACCACTCTTTCCTTCCTTAAGCAATGACTATTTGATGTTGCCTTTATATATACATTAGGCATGTAGTACCCTCAAAAATTTTCAAATTTTGAAGACTTCTTTATTTTACCCCCAACCCCCACCAAAAATAGAAAAGAAAAGAGAGTTAAGACATAAGGGTGTGTGGGAAAAAAAACACCTACTTTCTGATGCTTAGCACCACGAATGTGGGCAGCATATGCATCTGCTCCTGTACAAGACACATCGCAGAGCTCACAACGTAGCTGATTTTGAGTCCCACGAGTAGAGCTGTTGCTGCTGCTGGTATTCTGTGAGGCTTTCAATGCAGCTTCTTTTTTTTTATGTTTCTGCCCTTCTAAATGTTCTTTATAAGTCTGTCTCAAACAAAAAGAATAATTTTGCTTCACTACTTTTCTATCTACATTATTTGCAATTATTCATTCCAATCTCTAATACTCATTAAAATATCAGCACTACACCATTTTAAAAGCAACTGAACAGGAGCATGTGGCTTCCCTACATACACGATGCATCTGTGGTTCTCTGTACCTTTTTACCAAGAACACACTTACCAAACACTTTAATTAACAAAGGATTTTCATACACAGCCAAAATATCAATATAAGGTAACTGCTCTCAGTTTGAAAGAATTTCTATCTTTTAGTGCTTATGTATAATGTTGGGTAGAGACTAATAAGAGTGATCATTCCAAAAGAAATTATTTAATTATAGGATTATGATGAGGGAGGAAAAATGTATCCGCCACATGAGAAGAAAAAAAATGTTACTACATGGTAACAAGACTCAACAGGTATAATTACTTATAAAACTGGTTTAGAAGTCAGTTGCATCTGAGAAAACTCAAGAATGCATTACCACAATCTGTGTTAGAATCCATTCCACCCTGAACAAAAGTCTATGTAAAGTATTTAACTGCCAGAATTGTATCCCTTTTGATACTAGCCATCAAAATAGTGCAAGTATATATTAAAAATTGTCTTCAATGTCAATGACCAAGGAAGGCAGTTTTATTAAAATTCGAGGAGGTCAATAAGGACCTTGAGTGGGGCCAGATTATTATTTCCTATATTATTTAAAAATTTTTTATACACACATATGATGAGTGTGTATAAATTGCACAGATAGCACAGAATCTCAGAGCTGAATGGGACTTTAGAGGTTAGCTACAATGATTTTCTAAGTTTGAAACAAGAAAATTCTTCCTCAAAATGAAATCTTATGCACAAGGAAAGAAAGTTACTGTTTTCCAAACAAAAGAGGAAGTCCTAAGACCTAGTCATCTGATTCTCTTCTCACCATCTGCAGCAGCCTAAAGTGGCTCCATGAAGCAGTGGGAACCTCAATTATTTAGGAACAAGTCCCTATTACAGAAGTGAGGAAACAAAAGCCCAGACAATCGACTTAAAGTCTCCAACTTGCCCAAGGCCACAAGTTAAGTAGCAGAAACAGGACTGGAACTGGAACCAATTTAGTCTCCTTTCTTATATCTACACTAGACTCGAACTCACCACCTCATTCATATGGTATTTTTCTCCATAGGTTCATTAAGCCCTTACAGCACTGCCTCTGACTTAACAGAGGTACTCTTGGCCTGTTCTTGTGTAACCATCCCGCTCCCCCAAATCAATGGTCAGCCTTGCATATATATACTGATTCTAAATGCTATTAACTTATCACCCTAGAGCTATGTGCTATCCTTTCATATGTTACCATATAGTCAAGTCTCTTAACATTTGTAATTGCCACCACATCATCATTCCCCCTGAACGGTCATTACTGAGAAGGATACTCTCCTCAAATACTAAAGCCAACATTCTTGTTCCCTTTCATGTTTAGTCCTGGGTTGCTGCAAACATTCCCCATGTCTCCTCTCCCCTGAGCATGTTATCACAATGAAACTGTTTTCTACCAAACTTAAAACAGGGAAAAAAAGGTCTTATCTTAACAGCCACATATATTAAACTAGTCTCTAATTTGGTGTAACTCAGAGAATGCTGACAATTGAAAATAACTCCCAAATTCTATACTGAAAAGCAGACAGAACTGATCTAGTAAATTTAAAAGAATGTACACAGGTTAGGAAAGGGTGAGAGATGATGTAACTGGAAGAAACTACTAAAAACTCAAAATCTGATCTTTTCAAATACTATGCCTTTTGTCTGTCAAACTGCTTACCAATTATATAAACACTGCTGCTGCTGCTGCTAAGTCACTTCAGTCGTGTCCAACTCTAAACGACCCCATAGACGGCAGCCCACCAGGCTCCCCCATCCCTGGGATTCTCCAGGCAAGAACACTGGAGTGGGTTGCCATTTCCTTCTCCAATATAAACACTAGACGCTCTTAAAGAAAGTATTAACATATAAAGTTGGGAAGGGAGTTGAACTCACTAGATTTTATAAGCAGATCCTTCCCTAAATCACTTATTTCATGTTTAGCAACAGCAAGAAAATAACAAAAAACAACAACAAAAAAAAACAATAAAGGAATAAAAGTTCTGCATGCTTCTTTGATTGATATTTTTGAAAAAGACACTTTCCTACAGCTTTCTTATTCCCAAAGTCCCTACAGCCTCATGGAGGAAATAAGTATATAGAAACAAGTAACATTCTACAAAGCATATACGAAAGTCAGTCTCATGAAAAATATTATCCTAACATTATAGATTATTAAAATAGCTTAAAGATTTTTAATATTAGAGAAAGGCAACTTCTGCTATTTATATCTGAGTCTTCTCACCTCATCATGTCAGTGTATAAAACTATTTCTTTTTTTTTTTAATATATACATATTTTTAACTATTTCTATGGTCATCCTTTTTCGACTGCAAAATTCTACTTATACACTCAGTATGGACCTTGAAGAACTAAGAAAATCAATATCCAATTGTCTTAAGGTCAAGAATTTTGCATCAAGGCCTTAAAAAATAAGTCATAAATGCCAAAAAAGAAATAACAATTCAATCTTACTCCCAAATCCCAACTAATCTGAATATAAAACTTTTAAGCAAAATTAAAAGTTTTATTTAAAGAGCAAAGTATCCTTCCTAAAGAAAAGCTCAATTTGTCCACTTTTTATTAACATTCATAATTATTTTTACTGTATTTTTCTTAGAATTCTTGTATGTCAATACAAAAGCCTTTAAAAAATGGCCATTTGATGAAATATGTACATGTTACCTAAAAACTAGCAGGAGAGAAAAATGTAAACTTTCTTTGTAGGCCTAAGAATTACAATAATCAATCATACTTAACTATCAAGGACAACCACTGAAGAATCATGATGAAGCATACAATATACATACCTGTGGTCCAGCACAGCTGATCTTACAGACGTCACAATAGTGAATCTGGGGTGGTTTGGGAGGCTGTTTTGGTTTCAGTTGTTTATTTTGGAATGGTGCTTTTTTAGTAAAGGTGGTCCCTGTCCAGGCAGCTGTTGCAGCCGCCGCTGCCGCTGCCGCCGCCGCCTGCTTCTGTTGCTGCTGCTGCTGTTGGTAGTAGGAGGATGCAGCTGAATACACTGCTGCTTCATAACCTGAATAAGATGTACCTTACAAATAAAATCAAACAAAGATTATGTTACATACCTGTAAAAGGCCAAGAAAAGTGATGGGAATTTAAACCCAATAAATTCTGCTTAAGAAGATAGGTTTACATGTGCATATTTATGAATATATTGTATCTCACAAAACCTAAGGAAAATGTTACTTATCCTTCTTTTAATGTAAGTCAACCGAGTATTTACATAATACATGGCAGGTGTTAGGGTAAGATTTGGTCATTGCTTTCAAGAAGGCTTATAATACTGCTGGAAGGCTGTGATAGACTGTCTGATAAACTTATGTGGTTATGAAACTGTTATATAGTATTTTCCCCAAGCAGAATTCCTCGGAATACAGTTAAGAAAGTGCTGGGTTTGAGGAAAAGTCTGAACTAGAATACAGAAAGGAAAAAAAAGAAAGTCATGAAAGTAAGACTATAAGTGCTTGGTGGTTTAGGGGATAAAAGATATGAAAGAGGAAATTACACAAAGATGACACCAAGATTTTGAATCCCAGTGACTGACTGAAGGGGTTCTATAATCAATAAAAGTAAAGAGCTGATAGAAGCTGGTTTGGAGAGGTAAGGTGACTAAAGCTTGGCAAAAATCTGTAATATGGAGTTGGAGTTCTGATGAGCATCAGGACAAAAAAGGCAAGATATGAAATAAAGAATGAAAGACACTGGTTCTCATCTTCCAAAAGGTGAAAAAGCACTGAATTTTCTGGTTAAATGTATAAATTCTATCCTTCCATTGTTCAAAGTCTTTGATGAATAAGCACATTAAGCTAGCCATAGAGATAACATATATAAGCTGTTTATGTGCAGTGATTTATTGATTTAAAAATCTATAAAAGCTTTACATGTGATAAAGTTGCTGATTTTATTTATAACCCTATGTTAAAACTGGAAAACTTCCTGTTTCCTAAACTAAGATCCCTGGAAATCTGTTGGACTCCCTAATCGTCATCCTTTCCCCTGAAGAGGAAATGAGTGGGTCAAAAGTTAATGCTCAAGAGAGAGATTCCTAGTTGCTATGACAGCACAGAAGAACCACCTAAGGAAAACTGAACTTGTTGGTATCTCAAATGCAAACTGCTCTACTGAGGAGTAAAGATTCAAGACCCACTCACTTTAATATATTTTACACAGGGAAGAGAACATGAACTGGAAAGGTGAAGGTTAAGATGCATGGGAAATCAGAATCATAAGATTCTGAAATTTTTATTAATAGAAAATTTCCAAATGACTAGTTGTGTGCAGGAGCTGTTAACATGCCACTTAAACTGCAGCTTCATGAATTATGTATCAAGAAAATAAAAAGGAGAATAAGATGAGCAGCATCCTACAATGCTGGATGATCAGAACTACTGGGCTCTGGGTTTTTTTCTAGCCATGCTACATGGCTTGCAGGATCTTAGTTCCCTGACTGGGGACTGAACCTGGGCCTATAGTATTAAGCGGTCAAGTACTAATCACTGGACCATCAGGGAATTCCCTAGGTTTTTTGAAAATTGAGAATCCATACTACAAGGGGCAGTTTTCCAGATACAGTGATATCTCAGAACTATAAGGTAAGTATTGCAGGTATTACTATACGTACTTTACAGATGAGAAAACTGAGGCTGTGTCTCAGATCATGAACTCCTTATTGCCAAATTCAGACTTAAATTGAAGAAAGTGGGGGAAACTAGACCATTCACTAATGTCATTAGACCATTTAGGTACGACCTAAATCAAATCACTTATGACTATACAGTGGAAGTGAGAAATAGATTTAAGGGACTAGATCTGATAAACAATGGACGGAGGTTCATGACATTGTACAGGAGACAGGAATCAAGACCATACCCGAGAAAAAGAAATGCAAAATAAGCAAAATGGCTGTCTGAGGCCTTACAAATAGCTGTGAAAAGAAGAGAAGCGAAAAGCAAAGGAGAAAAGGAAAGATATACTCATTTGAATGCAGAGTTCCAAAGAATAGCAAGGAGAGATAAGAAAGCCTTCCTCAGTGATCTGTGCAAAGAAATACAGGAAAACAACAGAATGGGAAAGACTAGAGATCTCTTCAAGAAAATCAGAGATATCAAGGGAACATTTCATGCAAAGATGGGCTCAATAAAGGACAGAAATGGTATGGACCTAACAGAAGCAAAAGATAAGAAGAGGTGGCAAGAATACACAGAACTGTACAAAAAATATCTTTATGACCCAGATAATCAAGACGGTGTGATCACTCACTTAGAGCCAGACATCCTGGAATGTGAAGCCAAGTGGGCCTTAGGAAGCATCACTACAAAGCTAGTGGAGGTGATGGAAATCCAGTTGAGCTATTTCAAATCCTAAAAGATGATGCTGTGAAAGTACTGCATTCAATATGTCAGCAAATTTGGAAAACTCAGCAGTGGCCACAGGACTGGAAAAGATCAGTTTTCATTCCAATCCCAAAGAAAGGCAATGCCAGAAAATGCTCAAACTACCACACAATTGCATTCATTTCACATCCTAGTAAAGTAACGCTCAAAATTCTCCAAGCCAGACTTCAGCAATACGTGAACCGTGAACTTCCAGATGTTCAAGCTGGATTTAGAAAAGGCAGAGGGAGGAACCAGAGATCAAATTGCCAACATCCACTGGATCATCAAAAAAGCAAAAGAGTTTCAGAAAAACATCTATTTATGCTTTATTGACTATGCCAAAGCCTTTGACTGTGTGGATCACAATAAACTGGAAAATTCTTCAAGAGGTGGGAATACCAGACCACCTGACCTGCCTCTTGAGAAACCTGTATGCAGGTCAGGAAGCAACAGTTAGAACTGCACATGGAACAACAGACTGGTTCCAAAAAGGAAAAGGAGCATGTCAAGACTGTATATTGTCACCCTGCTTATTTAACTTATATGCAGAGTACATCATGAGAAAGGCTGGGCTGGAGGAAGCACAAGCTGGAATCAAGATTGCTGGGAGAAATATCAATAACCTCAGATATGCAGATGACACCACCCTTATGGCAGAAAGCAAAGAAGAACTAAAGAGCCTCATGATGAAAGTGAAAGAGGAGAGTGAAAAAGTTGGCTTAAAGCTCAACATTCAGAAAACTAAGATCATGGCATCCGGTCTCATCACTTCACGGCAAATGGATGGGGAAACAGTGGAAACAGTGACTGACTATTTTTTGGGGCTCCAAAATCACTGCAGATGGTGACTGCAGCCATGAAATTAAAAGATGCTTACTCCTTGGAAGGAAAGTTATGATCAACCTAAACAGCATATTAAAAAAGCAGAGACATTACTTTGCCAACAGAGGTCCGTCTAGTCAAGGCTATAGTTTTTCCAGTAGTCATGTATGGATGTGAGAGTTGGACTGTAAAGAAAGCTGAGTGCCGGAAGAATTGATGCTTTTGAACTGTGGTGTTGGAGAAGACTCTTGAGAGTCCCTTGGACTGCAAGGAGATCCAACTATATGACCTAAAAAAGGTCAGTCCTGGGTGTTCATTGGAAGGACTCATGTTGAAGCTGAAACTCCAATACTTTGGCCACCTCATGCGAAAAGCTGACTCATTTGAAAAGACCCTGATGCTGGGAAAGACTGAGGGCAGGAGGAGAAGGGGACGACAGAGGATGAGATGGTTGGATGGCATCACTGACTCAATGGACATGGGTTTGGTAGACTCCAGGAGTTGGTGATGGACAGGGAGGCCTGGCGTGGTGTGATTCATGGGTTCGCAAAGAGTCGAACACAACTAAGTGACTGAACTGACCAGCTTTTTAAGGTCCTTTGGGTTATTTAAACAACAAAAATCACTAAGCATAATATTTACGAAATAACCTCCTTCATTTGCATACATGTAGTCTAAAACTAATAAAAGGTAAGCTTAATTATAGCTTACTATTCAGCATTTTTTAAAAAATCAAAGCATAAACTGAAACGTATGCTGAAGGTTTTGGAACTCTGCTAAGGGATCTCCTTTAAATTTCCTATAATTACTAGCAAACACACACACATTTCTCGTAAAGCATTATGGGAAAATAAATATAATGCTATGTCTCTAAGTAAAAGCTCATTTGAAAAGCTAAAACTATTTCACATAAAAAGCACCTTATTATAAATACTTATCAAATAAGAAGTTGCATAATTAGAACAGTTAGAATATAATTTTTAAAGGTACAGTATCAGAAACAAAGACTACCACCTCGGCAGTAAATACATTATACCACAAGTCATCATTTAGTAGGTACCAACACTGTAGAATTCATTTTCATTAAGAGATAAAAAGAATAGCTGACCTAAGCTGTAGCTGATATAAAATTGCAGACACAGAACTCAGAAGCCCTAATAATGATCTCTTTGGATGGTAATTTCATATGTTCATATGGTAATGTATCATATGTTCTTTAAAATGTGTATACTCTTTGATGTAACAGTTACAAATCTAGGAATTTATCTGAGGAAAACAACTGGCAACACACAAATCTGTACATAAAATGATTATTTTACTCAGTGCTGTTTCAAGCTTTTCCTTAATATGAAACTAAATGTCCCCAACAGAAACTTTAAAATGTATCACATGCATACAATAAAACAGTATTAGTCATTAAAAACTATGTTTTTCTAAGCATAGATCTTGGTTTCTAAATACTAATGCCATACAAGAAACCATGGTTCCTTTGTGAAATGGCTAATTGTGAGTCTATGGCAGGAAAGGCTCAAAGTTTATTGTTGTTTTGCATTTTATTTATTCCTTAATACTCTGTCTTGTTCTGCATAGGTTATAAGGGCCATTTCAGTTCTTACCTCTTGATGTTTTGTTATAGAGCTTGAGTGTGGGAAGCCTAGATACTGAATTTCTGAAGTATTTAAAAAAATTTCTCAGAGATTTTTATCTCCTACCCTATGTCAAGTGCTATGCTTGATATTAGGGATGCAATGGTGAATCAGGCAGAGTAACATTTTACTGTGCCAGAAAAGAAAGAAATGCTCAAAGACTAATGATGCCAAGTTCAAAAGACTCAGAACTGGTTTGAAAAGGATCCTTTACTACCCAAATTTGGGACACTGTGTGCTTAAAAAGAAAAATGAAAGCAATGGATTACACTAAACTGAATAAACAGTAACATCAAAAAAGAAAGGGTGACGGGACTCCTCTTGAGGGAAGAATTCCTAAGAATCCAACTCATTTCACACTGATTCTTAGTAAAAGGATTTTTCATTCACCAATGGAGAATTTGATTCAGTTACTGATTTTCAAAGGATATAACACCTTAGAAAGACAGCTGGGCTAACAGGCCCATAGATAACTTGGTTCATTACAAAATGGAAAAAGGTATCTTTAAAAAGGAAAGATCTGGTAGTCACCACTTCAATCAGTGATTATACCTGACACCATTAATAAGGAATAAACTGACATTATTTATTACATGGCTGGCTTCCCTGATAGCTCAGCTGGTTAAGAATCCACCTGCAATGCAGGAGACCCCGGTTTGATTCCTGGGTTGGGAAGTTCTGCTGGAGAAGGGATAGGGTACCCACTCCAGAACTCCTGGGCTTCCCTTGTGGCTCAGCTATTAAAGAATCTGCCTGCAGTGTGGGAGACCTGGGTTCGATCCCTGGGTTGGGAAGAGCCCCTGGAGAAGGGAAAGGCTATGTACTCCAGTATTCTGGCTTGGAGAATTCCATGGACTGTATAGTCCTTGGGACTGCAAGGGGTCGGACATGAATGAGCGATTCTCACTTTATTACATGTACCTGATATGCTGAAATGAAATGCTGACATAGGTAGTTCTACTGACTAAAAAATTGCCAGAATCTAAACATAAAGAAATCAGATAAATCCAGATTGTGGGATATTCTACGAGACAACTTGTCTGAATTCTTCAAAAACATCAAGGCTGGGATCTTCCTGGTGGTCCAATGGTTAAGAACACACCTTCCAGTGCAGGGGACACGGTTCGATCCCTGTTTCTGGAACTAAGATCCCACATGCCCCAAGGCCTGCACACCACAACTACTGAGGCCGCAGTCTCTGGAGCCTGTGCTTGTACTCAGCCTGAGCCTGTACCTTCTGGAGTCTGTGGCAAGCAGAGAGAGACCTGCTCGCCACAACGAAAACCTGACACAACCACACAGTAAGTAAATAATATAAACGTTAAAAAAAAATCAAGGTCATGAGAGCTAATATAAAAATAGAAGTTATTCTGTGGTGGTGGTGGTGTAGTGGCTAAGTCATGCCTAATTCTTGTGATCCTGTGGACTGCAGCACCCCCCGGCTCCTCTGTCCACGGGATTTCCTAGACATGCATACTGGAGTAGGAATCTTTACTTCTCCAGGGAATCTTTCCAACTCAGGGATTGAACCCGAGTCTCTTGCACTGCAAACATCTCCTGCATTGCAGGTGGATTCTTTACTGTTAAGCCACCAGGGAAGCCCCAGGGGTTATTCTACATCAAAGGAAAATAAAACTAATAACCAAATATAATCTATAATCCTTGACTGGACCCTGAATTTAAGACAAAGCACACAGGGATGGGGTGGAGAGGGAGGTGGGAGGGGGGACCGGGATGGGGAATACATGTAAATCCATGGCTAATTCATTTCAATGTATGACAAAAACCACTGCAATGTTGTAAAGTAATTAGCCTCCAACTAATAAAAATAAATGGGAAAAAAAAAAAAAGACAAAGCACAAATATATCAACTATGGAGAAAGTCCAGCCATAGACATTTGTGGACAACTGAAGAAAATTTATTAGATAATATCTACGTCCAATTTCTTATCTGCATTTTGTTATATAAAAGAATGCTCCTACTCTTAGGAAATACATGTGGAAGAATTCCAGGCAAGGTACCATGTCATCAGCAACTTAGCAAACAAGGAAACATTGCTAAACCGTTTGAAAATGTGTTTAAACAGAGGAGAGTTAAGCAAACGTAACAAAATAATATTTGGTGAATGTACCTAAATGTTGTATGGGCATCTGTTGTCTGCTTTTTTCACTTTTCTGCAGAAGAAAATTTCCTAAAATTGGGGAAAAAACATGAACCAGGGAATGGTGTATCTCTATACTTAGGGCATTCACAACAAGGAAAGCAGTTTACACTGTAGTACATATAAGACAAAATTCACTTTTTATTAAGAAACCATGATGTTTATATATGCATAATTGCATGGAAGAAAGTATAGAGAGACATGCACTAAAAAGTTAATGGTAATTAGTGTCTAGGGATACATGCCTAGTAATTTAATTTTTTCTCCTTTTTAAATCAACAGCTTCGAGTTTTAAAAATGATATATTACTTACATACTAAAGCAGTAAACAGAAACAATTATCTTCATGCTGTACAGTATATTCAAGCAACTGAGAGAGACAAAGTCTGAGAGAGGCAGAGAGATGAAGGGAAGAATAGATGCAAGAGAAAAACAAGGAATAGGAAAGGATACTATCACATTCCTTATTTATTAAAGCTGATGTGGGTTTTCTTCCTTAAGTGTCCAAATAGATTTCAGTGAAACAACTCCATTTACAGATATAACTAGTTAACCAGAGAAAGGCAGAAAAGTTGTATCTGTGCCATCATGAGTAACAAATCAAACAATAATAATACCTCCTCACGTCAGTTCATCTCCACACGGCTGTCTTAATTAACTCACAAATCTGTCCATCGCTCCCTTTCTCGAGCTCTCTTTGGCATCCTGTCTGCCCACAAGGTAAAGTACGAGACACCAGAGCAGACCACACAAGGCTTTCCACGCTGACATTTCCAGCCTCGATTTCCCGTTACCCTGTGTATTCTGTATTTCAGCCACAATGAACTCTTGATCCCAAACCTATCATGCCTGATGAATTTGTATCCCTAACACCATGCACAGCATTCGACACAGAGTAAGAGATTTAAAAAAATCTTTGAGAAATAAAAAAAGTTAAAAAATTCAGTGGCTACTTCTAACACCTCAACTACCAAAAGACATCAAGAGATGAAAAATGAAATTACCTATGCCACCTTAAATCTTCCATGGAACAAGACAGCATACTATGGAATAAGTAAAATGCAAAACCAACAACAAACTATACATTAGTACAACGCTAAGTGTCTTCAAAAAAGTCATGTGTGACTTTAAGCATTCCAATACTACAAGGTACCTCAGTGGAAAATTAGGAAGAACAATGGGCACAGCAAGGTTTTAGTGATTATTCTTGGCCAGGAAAAATATATGATTACTAGGGAAAATAAATCTACTCTGTTCTTCCAAGACATGTGTTATATAACCATCACCTATGGATGTTTATAAAGGCCCCCAATATTTTCAAGATTACTTATTCCTGATAGTAAATATGACGATATAACTCCTTGTGAGCTGAAAACACAATGTAAATAATCTGTCACTGGTACTTCCTGAAGCTAACCTTGAACTTTCAAATTTATCTGGATCCCTTTTACACATTAAACAGGTTGAGAACCAAAAAAAAAAAGAACAAATTTATCTGGAAAAGTCAGACAGGAAATGACCCTGTAGAATACTAGATATTATTTTCTCTAACTGCAATGCTGGGACCAAGGTTTTAAAAGCCCAGAGGGCATTTTTACATTCTAAAATTTGCTGGCATTAAAAAAAAAAAGGATACATCTTAAGAGTACGGTTCATTTGTCACACTATGTACAAATATGCGTATTAACACCTATCAATTAATTCAATTCTTGCTGTACTGGGAGTAAGATCATCCCACAGAAAACCAAGACAGTTTCTCAGTGAGTCTAATTCGTTTACTCATTTAAACACACTTTATCAGTCTTACCAGAATAAGTAACTGCCGTGGTACTATAAGTAGCACTCTGGGTATAGGATGGCACCACAGTAGCTGCAGCTGCTACTGGCTGTACGGTGGAGGATACAGGATAAATGGAGAAAGTGGTGGTAGCTGGACTTGGTGTGGCTGGTTTTATGGCTGTCACTTGTCGAGTTTGCTGGGCTTGTGTATACTGAGTTGCACCTTGGCTATAACCTGCTTTAGGGGCTAAATTGGAAAAGAGACATAAGAAAATCAGAAAGGCGAACCAGTATAGTTACTGTACCAATATCCTAAAAAAAAACAAACATAGAACATCATCAACTGGAAATTTTATGCTAGCAATTTCTCCTTGATAAAAGGAGTAAAATTCTTATTACCAACTTTATAAAATACAACATCTATATAAATTACTATTCCTCCCCAGATGCTTTCTACATATTTCTGAAATGACATTTTGTCAAGATTTGCCACTAATTGAAATACCAACACTACTTAAACCATGTCATTAACAAAGGTTTAAGGAAAATAAATAAATAAATAAATAAAAACAAAGGTTTAAGGAAAGAATGTGTGTGTGTGTATTTGGGCTAGCCAGTATACTTGAGATTTATGCTTAATACTGGGAACAAAACAGAGAGTGTCTCAAAGTATAATTTAAGTTACAGTAAAATTTTCAATGCTTGATTATATGGAACTTGTTCATACACCATTTAAAAGAATTTTACTGATTTGTCCACAGTGAACTTCAAGCTAATTACAACCCACAAGGAGCTACTTATTTAATTCTTCAAATGTCAATAGCTCAAGTGCAGCTGTTCTTAAATGGCTATCATTAATGTCTCGCCTGAACCTTCTGCTATCTTTGAACACATTAAAACCAATGTATACCCGGGGTGCAGTGTTAAAGAACCTGCCTGCTGATGCAGAAGACTCAAGTTCGATCCCTGGGTAGGGAAGATCCCCTGGAGTAGGAAATGGCAACCCACTCCAGTATTCTTGCTTGGAAAATTACATGGACAGAGGAACCTGGTGGGTGGGCTACAGTCCATGGGGTCACAAAGAGTCGGACATGACTGAGCACACACACACACACTTGAATACCTTAAGAATCTTATGAGACTTATCATCACTAAATTAATAATTAATCCCTTATTAAGGATCACTAAAGCATACAAATATAATTTTCTGAGAAAGGCCCAAATATTAGGGACCAAACTCATTTATGCTTAAGTAAATGTACCTTAAACAAACAGTACTTAACAGTTTATAAAACTTTTTCTACACATAGTAGGAAATCTGATCCACATGACATACAGATGAGAACAACATTTTACAAGAAAACCCTGATGTCCAAGAGCTAAATAATTTACAAAAGTCACATGGTCATGTCAGATTTTAGACTATACCATGGTAGTCTGACTCATGATTAATTCAGTACTCTTCAGCATAATCCATCAAACCTTGGTAATTAATCAGGAAGTTTATTAAAGCTCATTGTACCCAAAAATCATTAGAAAGGAGACTATAAGGAAAGCCAGGATCATTGTAATTCAAAATACTTTTAATCCACTTTCCAAGGGACTCATAAAATCAATGTTAGATCTGAAAGTATCCTAGAAAGAGCTGAGTCAACTACCCTGTTCACAAATGAGAGAAGAGATGAAATGAGGTAAAAAATCACTTGCCCATGATACTGGTAACACCAGGGCTAGAAACCAATTCTACTCTTTTCTAATTCAAGGCTCTACCCACACTCTCATGGTCCTTCAAAAATAAAGAAGTCGCCTACTTTTCAGGCTGTATATTGCCACTGTTTATTTAACTTATATGCAGAGTATGTCATGTGAGATGATGGGCTGCATGAAGCTGGAATCAAGATTGCCGGGAGAAAAACCAATAAACTCAGATATGCAGATGATACCACCCTTATGGCAGAAAGCGAAGAACTAAAGAGCCTCTTGATGAAAGTGAAAAAAGAGAGTGAAAAGGCTGGCTTAAAACTCAACATTAAAAAAACTAAGATCATGGCATCCAGTCCCATCATTTAATGGCAAATAGATGGGGAAACAATGGAAACAGTGACCGGCTTTATTTTCTTGGGCTCCAAAAATCACTGCAGATGGTGACTGCAGCCATGAAATTAAAAGATACTTGCTCCTTGGAAGAAAAGCTATGACCAACATAGACAGTATATTAAAAAACAGAGTCATTACTTTGCTGGCAAAGGTCCGTCTAGTCAAAGCTATGGTTTTTCTAGTCGTCTTCTATGGATGTGAGAGTTGAACTATAAAGAAAGTTGAGTGCTGAAGAATTGATGCTTTTGAACTGTGGTGTTGGAGAAGTCTCTTCAGAGTCCCTTGGGTTGCAAGGAGATCAAACCAGTCAATACTAAAGGAAATCAGTCCTGAATATTCATTGGAAGGACTGATGCTGAAGCTCTAATACTCTGGCCACCTGATGTGAAGAACTGACTCCTTGGAAAAGACCCTGACGTTGGGAAAGATTGAAGGCAGAGGAGAAGGGGACGACAGAGGATGAGATGGTTGGATGTCATCACTGACTCGATGGACATGAGTTTGAGCAGGCTCTGGGAGTTGGTGATGGACAGGCAGGCATGGCGTGCCACAGTCCATGGAGTCATAAAGAGTTGCACACAACTGAGCAACTGAACTGACTAACTTTTCAGAACTCAGAGAGCTTTGGTCTTAAAGGTGCTCAGTTAAATTTCTATGAGAAAAATCCATCTTTTAAAGACTACAGATATGTAGGCTTCTTTGCAAACCAAACAGTTCCTGCATTCAAAACGTTAATATATATTGTACTATCAGTGGCTGATAACAAAACCAACTGTCATTACAGACCAGAAAAAGATGAATTAAAAATATGGGTCCACAAAATGGAAACCACCATCAGGGCCTCCAGTAATTACAAAGGAAGCTATGTCTGAGCATTTTTGGGCAAAAAGCAGGCGGCCAGAAGTTATTGCCACAACTTCTTTTGTACAGCTTATTTCAGCAGAAAAAGAACTGTAAGCTGAAGACCAGACATGAAATACACTTCCAAGAGAGAAGGACAACATTGTGAACTGCCTCCAGGGCCTTCTCTCTTTGGGACTCAAAGGCATTTTTATACAGAAAGAGGACATGGCTAGAACCTGCCTCTCAAGGTAATATAACACAACAAGTTTAGATGGGTTCAAAAGTCTATCTTCATTAAATAATACCTTGAATAATATGTTTCAACAGTGTACAATGAAAGGGTGGTATGTTAATAAACTCACCTGTCTGATAGTAGGTCTCAGCAACAGAAGGCTGAGGCTGGGCAGCGGCAGCTACAGCAGCAGCAGTTGCTGTTGGTTGTTGGTAGTACTGCTTACTATCATAAGCTACAGCAGGAGCTGTGGATCTTACATATGAGTACGAATCCTAAAGAAAGAGAATGAAAGAAAATCTTGCTATCAGTGAAGTGGCAGAGGAAAAAAACCTCATCTTTGCCATACTAAAAACCCAATAAAGGAAAACAGAAACCTAAATATGTATGAATATAAACAGAAGATTCAAATTCAATACAAAGGGGATTCATTTGGGACTTCATCAAATAAGGTCAAAATCATTTAAAGCAGCATGCTTAACTTTTAAAATAAAAAAAATCATCAAAACATTTAAAAATAAACATTATTTAAAAATTAATTTTATTTAAAAATTGCATGGTGGATCTGCTTTAAAGATGGATTCCAAAGTAAAGAACACCTGGATGTTCTAAGCTTTGTGACTGTTTCAGCTTTTTTTTTGTTCGCCCTTATTTACCACTATTTATTAACATAATGATGAGTAAGAGCTTCCAGGTGGAAGGAAGGTAAACAAAAGTTCTAAGGGAAAGGAATATTATTTACAAATCTCCAAAGCAATGAAAATCAAGGTGAGCTGGGTGAATTCTAGCACTGCATATAGTGAGGAGGGCTGGGGAGGCACACAGGTAAGACTGAAGCAGGCAGGACCCAGAAAATGATGGGCTTCATACACCCTATTAAAAATAATAAAATTTATTATATTCTGTCTTTGGTCATAAGGAAAACAATCACACATCAAAGTAATTCTGAGTTTAGAAACCTGCTAAATATTAATAGCAAATGCTAATAATGCTGATCCATATGTCAATTTCTTAGATAACAAAATAAATCCCTTTATTTTAGAAAGAAAATTTAAAAATCAGAAGCCCGAAACTTTAAAAACCAGATCTTAAAAGCAAACAAACAAAAAATGGGTTAAAAGAATTAGGACCAAATTTATTAAATAAGCAAGTAGTAATTTAGTGCCATACCAGACATAAAGAGACCATATTTTTAAATTAAGAGCTTTATGTCCCCATAAACCTAACAAGAAGGAATTAGATGACTTAAGAGCAGGATCAATTTCTGTTATAGATAAAGAGTATCTCAAAGGAAGAAGTACACATAGGTAATAGGATTTCCACCGTGTTTTAGGAAGACATTATGTAATTTGCTTTGATTAATGGCATTCCAGCATGCAGGTTCCCACACCAGAGACTGAACCCACGCTCCCTGTGGTGGAAGTGCCAGGGACTGGCAGGTAACCACTGGACTGCCAGGGAAGTCCTGACACTATGTAATTTGTTTGTCCTACATATCTGAAGGTCATGGTTCTCAAAATAGACATAGGGGTGTCCCAAGTGGATAAATAATACCACAGTACCAACAAGGGGCAGAAGACCTTATATGTCTTAATTTCTCTCAAAAACTTGTTATAAGATTAACATATTTAGCCATTAATTATTTTTTTTTAATTAAAGCAAACATATATATAGAGTGAAGTGAAATGGACTGGGGGATTATTAATATAAAACTCACTGCAAGGAGGCTTAATCCCTGGAGTATGCCCCTGGATTACCTAGGAATACACATTCACTTTTCTCTATCATTAGAGGTATATTTTGCAAGACTCAAGTTTGAAAAGCATTGGCTTGAACATTACATTAAACACTGATGCCACTGAACCTGTACGTTAAGGCTAATGAAAGCAGCAGCTTTCTTACCTGATAGTTCTGTGTAGTAGCTGGAGGTGGTGGTGGAGGTGCTTCTTGTTGCCTCTGTGTATAACCATAGTCAGTCGCTGTGTGTGCAGTGGGGTAGCCTCCATAAGCAGCAGCGGTTGCAGCAGCTGCAACAGCTACTGGAGCAGGCCTGGCAACTGCAACTGTGGCGGCTGCTGGTGCATAGGCAGCAGTAACTGTGTGAGCAGCTACTGGAGCCTGATGAACAGTGTAGCTAGCAACGGTGGTTGGATGAGAGTAGGCTACACCCGAAGCTGGCTGCTGGCTATATTGTGGAGTAGAAAAATAAACATAATACAATTTAATTTTTAAAATCTAGAAGTTCAGTCAACTTAAAAGCACATTTCCCAGTAATTTAATCATGGACTACAAAAGAACAGGTATGAACTTAATAAACCACCTAACCAAATACCCTATTTGTTATTGTTGCATAATTTTCATCCCTTAATCTGAATAAATTAAGAGAGTCACATATATTGTTTCAGATCAAAAGATCATTATCATAAAGCAGGGAGGACAAATTGAGATAAGAAGCAGTATTAGGAAGAAAAACTGATCAAATTAGAAGCTTAAAAAAGTATCTGCTGTATGTAAAGTTCTTTATTATGTTCTGTAGTTTTAAAATACTGCATTCTAGCTCCAATTATGGAAAACATTTAAGGCAGAAACTGTTACTGACATGACTTAAATACTTCTGATGCTCTAAGGCAGTGGTTCTCAACTAGGGGAGAACCTCCTGGTTCTCTATGCCCTCCTGGAGATACCTGGTCATGTCTGGAGATATTTTTGATGATCAAACTGCAAAGGAGAAGGTGGTGACGCGTGCTACTGGTATTTAGTGGGTAGAGGTCAGTGATGCTGTTATATATCCTATAAAGGACAGCTATCCACAGCAAAGAATTATCCAAAGAATGCCAACAGTGCTGAGGTTCTTTCTCTAGAGTACAGATTGTACAATGCAATATTTATTATATTAGATACATTTTCCAGGTTATAGGCAGCAATCATTATACACATTTCTTTCTCTCTTAAAAATGTAGCACATGCTGCAAAAGGAGACCTAAGTCAGATGCTTTGCAATCATAACTGTTTAGACCTCAAAGAGACAAAAACACTTTCCAAAACTCTAATAAATTAATCTTCGGGTAAAGTTCTTAAAATGACATTTACTTTAATTTTTAACTTGAGAGCCTAAGTCACATAAAACAAGGCGGTTTTATAAAACTTTTATAAAAAAGTTTTTGTTGTTTTAGGTTCTCTGAGTAAGTAATATATTCACAATCACACCTGCTAAAGCTCTATTACCAAGGCAGAAATGCCTTCTTAAAAAAAAAGGATAGCCCCAACAGTTATTTAGCTGACAGGTTTTAGTTGACCATATGTTTTTTTAAAAAAAAATTTTTTATGACCATATGTTTTAATATGAGTCAAAAGTACAGCTAAGAAAAAAAATACCTAACACAGGTGAAGCTGCACTAATAAACTAGTGTGCCTGATTCATGGGTTACAGTACAGGATATTCTTCACTGGTATGCACAATACCAAAAAAAATATGGCATAGAATTAAAATCTGGGGCCATCATTTTAACTGTAAAGACACTGGAAGACACTGACAATTAGAATGTATTCAAAAGGAATCACTATGAAGTTTATAAGTATGGGTATTATTTTACATAAAAAGTAAAGGACCTGGGGACATTCAGTCTAGAAAAGGTGACCTTGGAAGATATGATAGCTGCCTTCTAATAGAAGAAACTTACTCCATGCTGCTCCAGAGAACAGAACTAGAACCAATGGATGGAAGGGTGGCAGATTTCAGCCCAATATGAAAAAGAAAAAAAAACAAAAACTTAGAACAGAGTCCAAAGAAACTCTTATAATTTCTATTTGGATGAGGTTTTCCACATTTTGACACTAAAAATTAGCTAACATTTTCTACATATATGCCAATTATAAGACAGGAAAAAGGAAGTTTAAACTGCAATAGTGGGAAATTAGATGGGTATTGACATTTTCTATGGATAATTCCACATCGTTAAGAAAAATTCCAGTAACGTGTACTTCTTCAAAATTCCTAGAACTTCGAAAAAGAATCATGTTTAAAACATAAATGCACCAGTTCTGTGGAACTTGTATTTAACATTTACTGGTAAGATTTCGCACATACAGGCTATATGGCTACATAAGAATCCAGAGAGTCTTGAATTCCTATACTGTTTCCATTCATCCCACTGCTCTTTATCAAGCATCTGTTCACATTTTATGCTCCCCAAAATATGTCCTACAGGACAAAAAGCAAAAGTTGGAGTAAAACAGGAATATCAAGTATACTAGGCAGGCAATTTGATGTATACTGCCTCTGATCTATAGAAGTCCATGCAGCTCAGGGATGGATGACCTTGTGCTCTGGTTTATGCCTATTGCCCCACATATTTATCAATAGTATTCTCACTCTATGTCTCAATTTGAACAATAAATTTTATAGTCACTCTTCCCAGCAGCCATATAAAAAAGATGCCAGTGCATTTAGCACTATATTTACATGCCTTTACATTTACCATATATTTACATCCTTAAGGTTAACTAATCTAACTTGCTCTGTACAACCAGGTCCCTAACCATAATCTGGACTGGAACAACAGCCTCCACCAAAGCATCATGAAGGATGATGATCCACTCTCAGTTCCCAGGGAGTCAAGGGCTAGGGCAGCTGACAGCAGTTAAGAATGAAGATTCTCTGATCTGTTATCTTAGATCCATCTGGGAAATTCTCTTTCAGTTTCAAATACCTTTAGAAGAATGGTCTTTTACATGACACAGATGACCACACTGGACTATACTAATGCAATTAAATATCAAGTAGCTAAGTTTACAGAGAAGGGAAACTACAATCACTAGAATTATTGGGTACAAAACAGAAAATAAGCACACTAAAGAGATAGTCCGGAGAAGGCAATGGCAACCCACTCCAGTACTCTTGCATGGAAAATCCCATGGACAGAGGAGCCTGGTAGGCTGCAGTCCATGGGGTCTCGAAGAGTCGGACATGACTTAGCGACTTCACTTTCACTTTTATGCATTGGAGAACGAAATGGCAACCCACTCCAGTGTTCTTGCCTGGAGAATCCCAGGGATGGGGTCGCACAGAGTCAGACACAACTGAAATGACTTAGCAGTAGCAGCTAAGTTTAAACAATTTTTAAGAATTCAGGTCAAGTTCAAATTAAGGTTTTTGCCTAGTCTCAAGTGTTAGAATAAAAGATGTTAAGTTATACCTCTATATAAAATTTAAGACTTAACCATCTTTATGGAGAAGGAAATGGCAAACCACTCCAGTATTCTTGCCTGGCAAATCCCAAGGACAGAGGAGCCTGGTGGGCTACAGTCCATGAGGTCGCAAAAAGTCAAACCCAACTGAGCACACACGCACAACTGTCTTTAAGTTGTTTCTTAAATAGGGAACTCCCTGGCAGTCCAGTGGTTAGAACTCCAAACTGTCACTGCCAAAGGCCCCAGTTCAATCCCTGGTTGGGAAGTAAAATCCCACAAGTCATGTGTTCCCCCCCCACCAATCTTATGTAAAACAGGACATAAAATAAAAACCCACATCCTGTGCCACAGAAATAATCTGTGAAATCAGATTTTCATTTACCAAACAACCAGGAGGCCAGACGCTTTTATTTAGATGATAATATCCTTTGTGAATAAATTAAATCTAATCAGTTTCAGTCACTTTTAAAGTGCAACAAACTAAAAAACAAATTATGAAGCAAACATAGGAAATCAACATGGGGAAGAAAGCTTAAGAAATAATCAGACATAAAATAGGAATGGCATTTCTCTTGAGGGGGGAGAATTTAGGATATTATTGATATTAAAGAGTAAAAAAGTATGTTTCACATTCCTGAACTGTTTACCTTCAGCTTAAGAACCGAAGCTAAAGATGTTCAAACTACCACACAACTGCACTCATTTCAAGGTAATGCTCAAAATTCTTCAAGCTAGACTTCAACAGCATGTGAACCAAGAACTTGCAGATGTATAAGCTGGACTGAGAAAAGGCAGAGAAACCAGAGATCAAATTGCCAACATCTGCTGGATCATAGGGAAAGCAAGAGAATTTCAGAAAAATATCTACTTCTGCTTCATTGACTATGCTAAAGCCTTTGACTGTGTGGATCATAATAAACTGTGGTAGATTCTTAAAGAGATGGGAATACCAGACCACCTTAACTGTCTCCGGAGAAACCTGTCTACAGGCTAGGAAGCAACAGTTAGAACCAGACATGGAACAATGGATTAGTTCAAAATTGGGAAAGGAGTACATCAAGTTTGTATACTGTTACCCTGCTTATTTAACTTCTATGCCAAGTACATCATGCAAAATGCTGGGTCAATGAAGCAGGAGCTGGAATGAAGACTGCTGGGAGAAACAGCAACTACCTCAGAAACGCAGCTCATACTACCCTAATGGCAGAAAAAAAAGAGTAACTAAAGAGCCTCTTGATGAAGGTGAAAGAGGAGAGTGAAAAAGCTGGCTTAAAACTCATCATTCAGAAAACTAAGATCATGGCATCTGGCCCTATCACTTCATAGCAAATAGATGGAGAAAAAGTGGAAACAAGGGCAGATTTTATTTTCTTGGGCTCCAAAATCATTCCGGATTGTGACTGCAGCCATGTAATTAAGATGCTTGCCCTTGGAAGGAAAGCTATGACAAACCTAGACAGCATATTAAAGAGCAAAGACATCACTTTGCTGACAAAGGTCCATATAGTCAAAGCTATGATTTTTCCAGTAGTCATGTACAAATGTGAGAGTTGGACCATAAGAAGGCTAAGTGACAAAAAAATTACGCTTTCAAATTGTGGTGTTGGAGAAGACAACGAGAGTTACTTGAACAGCAAGGAGATCAAACCAGTCAATCCTAAAGGAAATCAACTCTGAATATTCATTGGAAGGACTGATGCTGAAGCTCTAATACTTTGGCCACCTGATGCGAAGGGCCAACTCACTGGAAAAGATCCTGATGCTGGGGAAGATTGAGGGCAGGAGGAGAAGCGGGTGACAGAGGGTAAGATGGTTGGATGGCATCATCAACTCAATGGACATGAGTTTGAGTAAGCTCCTGGAGATAGTGAAGGACAGGGAGGCCTGGTATGCTGCAGTCCACGGGGTCACAAAGAATCAGACACGTCTTAGCAACTGAACAACAACAAAGCTGAAAGCGAAGCCAGTCAGAAGTCTTATCAAAATAAACAGGCA